AGAGAGAGAGAGAGAGAGAGAGAGAGAGAGAGAGAGAGTGACGCAAAGATATCGTGTACTACATAGTGGCTACGTACACAACCAACGCGCTCCGCTGTTGCGCGCGCTAACTTCAAATTACGTCTAATTTGCATTCTCTACTGAGGCTACCGAGGCCAAGAAAAACGTCGTTTACTTAAACTCTCGTCAGATTTCATTCAGGATAATCCGCTAATCTTTCGAGCAGAGATTGCGCGTATCGTAATTAGAAGGGAGAGACGAGAAGCGAAAAAAAAAAAAAGAAAAAAATTGAACAAGATTGCGCGCGGTTATCGAAATGCTACAATTCGATTGAAATAAATCGACCGTTGGAAACCACGTTGGAAGCCACGTGCCCTGAGCTCGAACTCCGCTCGAAAACTGACAAAGGCCAGAATTCTATCTTTGGTAAAAGTGGCAGAAACAATGGTTCGAAACAACGGGAAATGTAACGTGCTGTCCGAAAGTTTCGCCGTGCACGAGAATTCTGCGTCTTGCAGCGAAAGCTTGGGAACAGGTGCGGACGGTATGCGTGCGCATGCGCAGAATCGAGGCGGCGTCGCGCATGCGCCGTACCGCGGCGAGTGTAGCGAGGCGCGAGGGCGGTGTCGGTGGTGGAAGCAGGGAAACGTTTTCTACCCTTTGCTCGTTGTCGTCGTTGTCATCGTATGTCCGTCTCTCGTTTCATCGTGCACGCTCGTGGCGTACGGTGCAGTGAGTGATATCTCTCCGTGGTCTCGTCGTGGTCGGTACGCGTCGTCCGGGTCGTGTCCTCGCCTGTCGCAGCAACATCCCTCGCACAGTCGCGTATGACATTTCGAGCTGTCGACCAGTCGAGAGGGATCCTCGATCACGGTGGAATCAAAGATTATAACCTGTCATCGTCATCGTCATCGTCATCGGCGCCGCCGACGTCGTCGTCGTCAGTCTCGATCAGCTGCATCGCGGGTGAGTACGAGACATTCCTTGATTCGCTTTTTGCCGTGAATTTCGCCGTTCCCCGAACACCGAAATCTTCGTCCGTGCGAATGTCAGAGTTAACCTAGTTGCGCTGCCTTTGGAACGCCCTCGTGTTTATGCCGCGAAAATGCGAGACGTTTGAAACGCCGGGAGAGAGAGGAAAGTCTGACAGGGATGCTATCCTCCACGATACTTTTCATTCAACTGCTTCTCGTGACTCGGCCGACGCCGAAATCAACGAAACTATCGATCTATCGGCGTTTCTCTCGATGTGTGTTCGCCGATCTCGGAATCTCGAGGCGAATTCCAT